AATGTTAAGGCAATGTGATCCAATTTCAATCAATGTGAAGGACAGCTCTATATGTGGAAAGACCACCGTGACACTATTCCTGTGGCCATGGCCACTCTGGGATGAGGTTTCCAACCGTAAGAACAGAAGAAAGCCAAATAGTGAAGTGACAGCACAGGTGGGAAGAACCTGGTCCTTCATGATTTCAATCAGCTCAGTCAGTTCAGCTAGCCCTTACCCTGAAATGGTACTGCCTTCCTTTAACTCAGCTGACATTCTCTACTACTATTTATGGTAAATGTGTGCTAACTTATTCAGATGGTAATCGCCCCGAAATACATAAATATAAAGCAAATCCAATAATGTAGGCTAAGTACTTTGAGGACTTTGATTCCATACAATTCACATGAAAGATGTCAATTCAGCCAGGCACGGTGGCACAGATCTATAAACCCAGCACTCAGGGAGGCAGAGGCAGGTGGATCTCGGTGAATTTGAAGCCAGCCTGGTCTACAAAGCAAGTCGAGGACAGCCAACACTACATGAAGAAACCCTGTCTCGAAAAACCAAAAGAAAAATGTAAAAACTGGGGAAAACTTCTATAAAAGAAGCATGTGTGAGCTGAATTATCACATATTTATATGATATGATTTAACAATGTTTACTGGTAAAGGACTTATCTAAAATAAATAGAAAATTCTGAAGAATACTGTTCTTAATGATAATTACCTGTAAGAAACTAGTGGTCAACTTTACAAGTAAATTCTAGATAACCTAAAAAGCTAAATACTAAAACTGTTTAAAAAGTTAAAACAGGAAGCCAAAAAAAAAAAAAGAAATCTAGAAAGATGGGTGATAGATGCTCTGCCTGACTTGAATGTTGAAAATACCTTTCAGGGCACTGTGTCCCAGAGGAACTGGGGCTTTGCGTCACTTTCTGCAACTCAAATCCAAAAGCAATGGCTTATGACAGTTAGTCAGTATTCAAAATTAATAAAAGTTGGGGCTGGACAGATGGTTCAACAGTTAAGAGCACTTGCTTCTCTACCAGAGGTCCAGCGTTCAATTCCCAGCTCCTAAATCCAAGGGTTCTAACACTCTCTTCCAGCCTCCGAAAGAACCTGCATTCATGAGCTAATTCCCACACAGACACAAGGAAAAAATAATTAAAAAATAAAAGCAAATGAAACACACACTATCATACACATCATAAAAATACCCTACGAACACAAACTGTAAAACTCATTCAATACACACTTAATAAAACCTTAGAATTGAGACCAGCTGGCCTAGCATGTATGGCAGCAAGCAATAAGAGACACTGTCTTGCACAGGGTGCAAGATCTGAATGACACCCAAGGTTGGTCTCTGGCCTCCAAACACAGTCTGGTACTCGCTACCACCCAAAGAAAAGCACAAACAAATGATATTCTCACTACAGAAGACGTGTATATCCTGCTCATAAAGCTGACAGGGTTACAGAAGCTAATGTGCTTCAAGCAGCAGAGGCACACAGCCTTATCACAATAGTAAAAGCTAATAGTTACCATATTCTGAGTTGCTACTACGTAGTAGTCACTATTCTAATGCTTTATATATACTAACTCATCCAATTCCAAAGGTCCAAAGAGAATATTGCTCTTAATCTCCTACTAGAGAGCAATAGATTAACTAATCTGACCAAATTAACTACAACTCCAGTGCCACTGACTGCCTGCCACCATACTCCCCACCATCATGGTCATGGACTAAACTTCTGAAACAATAGCCCCAAATAAATTTTCTGTAAGTTGTCTTGGTTACAGTGTCTTATCACAGCAACAGAACCTAGCCCCATGTGTTGTCCACTGACCTGCAGAGACACACTGTGGCACACATGAATGCCTAGGCATGTACACACATGCACAAATAAATGAATATTATACAAGTATGTTAAAATAAATTCTAAAAGCAACAAGAAAGCAAGTTAACTCCAAAGAAAACAAAATGCCAAAAATAAAATTATATTATCATGTTACTTGGCTCTGTTAGTAATGTTATTTATATGTTCATCAAATAAAGTAGGTGTTTGAAAAATCTAAGCCTACAAATAATTTTATGTTTTCAGGAAAAGTGCAGGAGTTAGTAAACACCTGTCATATAAACCTGAGGACCTGAGCACCACTCCAGAGTCCACATCTGAAACAGCCAGGTGTGTGGGACTATTAAATGAAAGGCAGAAAGAGGTGGCTTCCCAGGGATGCTGACCAGCCAACAGAACCTAACAGGCAAGCTCCAGGTCAAGGAGACCAACATGGAATGACACCCAAGGTTGATTTCTGGCTTCCACTCATAAGTGAATATACAAGCACACAGACAGAAAAAGTGCCATCTGTTTTCAACTGACCAATTCCTTTGGCTTTATACTCTCAATAAATTCATATCAAGGGGTTAAAAACGCAGCTCATTTGGTAAAGTGCTTGCCTGGCTCTGAGTTCAAGCCACAGCACAACACAAAGCAGGTATGGAATAATCCTAGCACTCAGAAGGAGAAGACAACGCGATGAGAAGTACAAGTACAAAGTCATCCTAGCTACACAGTAAGTTTGAGGCCAGCCTGAGATACAAGAGACCATAGACAGAGTGAGTGAGAAAGAGAGTCAGAGACAGACACAGGTAAGACAAGGGCCGCCAACAACAGCTCACATGAGTCAAGAGGTTGAGGGAGAAGGAGTACCCTAAGGTTGATGCCAGTCTGGCCTATACAGCAATATCCCATATGAGAAAGAAAGAAGGGGAGAGAGAGGAAAAAAGGAAGAAGGGAGAGGGAGAGAAAGGGAAGAGGTAGGGAGAGGGAGAGAAAGGGAAGAGGTAGAGAGAGGGAGGGAGGAAGAGAGAGGGGGAGGAGAGAAAGAGGGAGTAAAAAAACACTAGTAGTATTCCAATGCATGAAGACAAGCATGTGGACAGTGAATGACTCACGTACTCTGTGGCTGGGCCCTATTCATACCTTCTCTGGGTTTCTTCAAGCTCTTCCGCACTGCACTGAACTATATTTACTTGCTGCTCTTTGCCGAATTTTGTTCTTTCAGTAATTACTGAGTCCCTGTTAGGTGCTAGGCACTCTTCCAGGCACTAATAATTTAATACAACACATGGTATCTTGACTTCTCTTTGGTAGAGAAGATAAATACTAAAAAGTTAACAAAAAAAATGTACTTTTATTAGTAATACAGACACAAGCACACAACAGTCATACTTCCACTTCAAGGATGGTAAAGAAGACATAAAGGATAAAAAGGATGAATAACATCAAGATGGGAGGAGATGCCTGTGCTGGGATAGGCCTCTGAGGAAGACACTGAGCAAACCTGAATGAAGTAAGGCAGTGGTGAGAGCAGTCTAGGGAGAAGGCATACTGAATGAAAGGCCTTTAGATGGTATGGGCTCAAGATGTGCAAGACCAAGAAAGAGCAATATGGTCAGTGAGATGAGCAAGGAGAGAAGATAATGATGCCACAGAAGCAGGTGGAAGCCAGACCATGGATCTGTGTAAGGATTATGAATTTATTCATAATCAGAAGCAATGAGGTATTTAAAAGACTAGTTTGCTGCTGTATGGATAACAGATTATTTGGGGTGCAGGGGATAAGGCAAAGGAAGCAGGAAAAACAGATCAGCATCCAGGCAAAAATGGATGATGGCCTCCACAAATCAGTAGGATAAAAGAATGAGACATGTCTAATGTGGATGTATTTTCATAGTTGATCCAATATAACTTGTTGGTAGACTAGCATAAGGAGGAAAAATCACAGAGAATTCTTAGGGTCTCTGCCAAAGCCACCAGGTAAATGCTGGTGTCACTTACTAACCTAGGGCTGAGCAGTGAAGAAACCTGAGTGACAAAAATCAAGAGACCCAGAGTGGACATGTCTAATACTGGATAATCACTAAACAGTCTAGCCAAATATAAAACCAGACCCATAAGCCTGCAGTCTTGGGGCCAGCTGGAAGGCACACATATAACAGTCAAATGTTATAGGAGTATATGACATTTCCTAGCGTGTGAGCCAGAGGGAAAAAGAGAAGATACCTCTGAAGCCAGTCACCATCTGTAAGTAGGCATGAGGAAAGGGAAAGATCAATGAGATGCCCCCAAAACCAAGGGATATTGTTTCCTGTAGGAGACAATGATCCCATGAATCAAAGCAACTAATGAATAAGACAGTCAAGTGCTAGATTTGGTGACACTGATAAAGGTTGTCAACAGTGGAGTGATGGAGAAGAAAACCTGATTATGTTCAAAAGAGGTGGGATGAAAAGTTGCCCATGGCTTCCTAGCATCTTGGTACCTTTAGCAACAAATTTCTTAATGAATGTGAAATCTGCAAATTTCTAGTACTTCATACAAAGTAAGACACTCAAACAAAAGCCAGGTATAGAGGTATACACTTTCAGTCCAAGATTTCAAGAGGCAGAGACAGGTGTTATCTCAGAATCAGAGAGCAACCTGGTCTACATAGCAAGGTCTACGCCAGCCAGAACTACATGGGGTCCCTGTCTCAGAGCTGGGGAGGGGGAAGAGGCCTAAGAAAAGAAACCCAAATACACAGCTTAAATGCTCCCTCAGTGCTGTGATCCTTCTTCCTTACCTGGCTGCATACCTAGATTCATCTTTTTTCTCTCTCTAATCTAGGGGTTTGGTACCTGACAGGCAGTACTTTCCCACTCAGCTCTACTTTAATAAGTGACCAAACAAAAAAAGACTTCCCTAGTTATTGTCAACTTCCCAAATATTATAAATGTAGCAGAAATTAGCAGAGAAATTATGAGCCTGTCTCCTATGGGGCTTTAAAAAAATTCAAAACAGTACTCAAATCATTTAAACAAAACAGCCTATTTCAAACCCATGGCATTGGGATAACCACTTACTCTCCACAATGATTTGCCCTCTCCCAATGTGGGCTCTTTCCTTTAATGAACATCTAGCAATGGAAACTTTGTACAGAAAACCCAATGTCTAGAAAAGCCAAGTTTCCTACCTGACACGTCTTCTGCTAACTCCTTTTCTCTTTCAATTTTTCCCTCTAGAGTTGAAATGCAGAATTCATAGCCAGCAAGGGCAAATTCCTGTCTGGAAACAAGTATCAACAGTCAGTCAGCTGTGCTCACCTTTTACTCTGTTACCGTCTCTACAGCTCTTTGCTGAGCATGATCCTCTACAGTTCTTTGCTGAGCATGATCAACAGGGGAAGTTTGTATCTCTGGGCTGTCGATCTGTATTTCTCCAGGGTTTAAGTCAACTATTTCAGGTAAATTAATGAATGCTGTCAACATTTTCATTACTGTATAACCACTAGGTTTCAATTATCTCCCACCACAGTTTCAAGTCTGTCTGTCTGCATGGCAAAACCCCACCTTGAGGCTCAGGCTGCTGGCCCTAAGGCTCCCAACTCTTGTCACCATGCACTTTTGGAAAACCTTGGGAACTTAACAATTTCTCCTAATATGTTTTGACTTAATTTTTTTTTTATTCTATGGAAATCAAAATACTAGCATGGGAAGGCCTGTCATACAATCCTGGACCGTGAGACACACTGAGGAGACATACAGGCACACAGAGTGATGCTGGATAGCTTCTAGAGAGACACAGAGGAACTTCTTTAGCTCCGGTTCCTACTTTTTCATGTTGGTTCTACTCTCTTACTACAACTGACATTATGAAGTTCATCCCTTTTTCTCTAGTGCTTTCCCAGGAGGGATCTGATGACCCACTGTTCTACTTTATCCTCAGAATGAAGCATCTGCTTCCTTGGTAGATGAGACACCTCCAGCCTCACAGTAAGGGAGGCTGCCACAAGATGCTGTCCAAGTAAAAGGTCTACAAACCACTCCCTATCTGAGCGGTTTTCCTTCATTACCCAGGGCCTCACACATGCCAGGCAAGAGCCCTTAGCCTCAGTAAGCCCTATAACCTGACAATGTGTTTTCTTATCTTATACTTCCCTTAATAAAACAACATAAAAAGAGAGTGCCAGAGGTACTACTTACTAATGGATACTGTAAAAGTTTTCAGCTCTGTGAGAGATATGAATCTGTTTTAATTTTCAGCATTTATTTGCTTTGAGATTCTACTTGTCAGAGAAACTGAGACATCATTAACATCCAGTTCTGTAAGACACTACTCTCATGACTGTCCCCAGTTGCAATGTTCTCTGGCTGCAGCCAAACTTGAAGTTCAAGATTTAAGTCAGGAGCTATGTTGTGTTTTGTGTCTGTAATCCAGGCTGGCCTAGGTTACAAAACGAGCTCCAATCTGAAAAAGCAGAAGTCAGAGTCCCTCAGAAGCCTCAGCCTATCTAGTGCCCGATCAAAATGCAGGAAAACTAAGCAGGTGCTGAAGAAAATGGAAGTTGCTGACTCAAACAGGAACCGGGGCTGGGACCTCTGGCCTCAAAGAGCAGCTTTTTTGAGCAGCATCCAGCTTTATGTGACATCTCTCTGGTATTAACTGCTACAGCAGCCAAAAATATCAAGGAAACCAGTCTAGTCTTGTCTTCTCTCTGAGTCCACTCCCAAACAGAACTCTTCAGAAACATTCCCAATTTACATACCACGTGCTCCCCCCTTGAATTATATCTAGAGATCAAAAGGAATGAAAGGATGTGCCAGCTAACATCTTGGCAACTAGAACCAAGCAAAAATCACCTGAGGTGAAGAACAGCTGAGATGGTGCCATTAGACTGTTTTTGTAGGCAATGGTGGGGCATTTTCTTGACTGATGATTGTTATCTGGTGGTCCCACAAGAAAACAAACTGAGCAAGCCAAGAGGAGCAAGTCAGTAAGCAGTTTTCCTCTATGGCTTCTGCTTCAGTTCCTGCCTCCAGATTTCTGCCTTGAATTCTTGCCATGTTTCTCTCAGTAATGTTGTAGGACTTAAGAGCTATAAAAAAATAGTAACAATAAACCCTTCCCTCCCCAAGTTACTTTTAGGCATGGTGTTTTACTACAACAAAAGAAACGCTAAGACAGAAATTGGTACCAGGATCACAGGTATGGCTGTGGCACACCTGATCATGTGGTTTGGGGGCCAATGTGGAAGAACACCAGAACTTTAGACTGGGAAAGCCATTTAGTGCTTAGAGCTTAATGGGCTGTTATGGGAACTTGGAAGATAGAAATGCTGTAGAGAAGCAGATGAAGGAGGCCTGGCTTGTGACATTTCAGTGAGAAACCAAAGACTATCAGGCTGTCTGTGTGGTATTTTGTATTAAAAATCTGGGGCTTCTCATCAGTTGGAGCTAAAGATTCAGCTGTGATTAATAAGAGACCAGCACCACTAAAGTAAAACCTTTGTTATGCTGAGCATCAATGCTGCTTAGCTGAAGCTGAGAAATTAGGGGTGATTTTAACACAAGCATCATTAGGGTGAAATATTCCAGGACTGCTTCCCCAGGGTCAACACATAGAAGCTGGGGTCCAGAGGGAGCCAAGGCTAGATTTCATGCAGACAGCCAAACTTGGTAACATGAATCACCAGGTGGTACTTGTTTTGAAGGCATGAAGGGGTCATGGGTAGCACCTGAGGCAGGGGTGGAGCACAAAAAAGGGAGCCCCTATACAATGGTTAAAGTGTAGCTGGGTACAGTGGAGACCCCAGCATACTGCAGAATAGTGTCACAGGATAACTGCCAAGGACAGTAGCTGTGGTGTGGAGCCGACCCGAGCCTACAAGCTATGTATGCAGTGGAGGATGAGCTGGAAAGGTAGACCTGCCTGAGCCCTTTGAAGACCAGAAGATCTTGAGTCTCACTCATAAGAGCTATTTCTACTTCTCAGAAGAACTGGGTTTTGCTTTGATTTGATCATAACCATACCCTGGTTCTTCCCTCTTAGAATAGAAAGTATGTAACTTACTTTGGTTTTACAGAAGTCCACAGCTGGATATTTTTAAAGAGACTGATTTTTAAAGTGAATTTTTTAAGACTGTGGGACTTTTAAAAGTTATATTATGTTTTAGGTTATATTGTGTATGGTAGCACATGCCTTTAATCCCAAAGGCAGGCAGGTATGATCTCTGTGAGGTGGAGAACAATCTGGTCTTCACAGTGAGTACCAGGAGAGCTAGGGCTACATAGAACCCTGTCTCAAAAAAAAAAAAAAAAAAAAAGTTATGTTATTTTGTGATATTATTATTAACACGACACCTTGGGAACAAGTGTGAAAAGAAAGTCTACACGTGATGTGTTTCTATATCAAAGTGACAAGGGGTCAACACACTAGTTTTTTGTCAGTACTGTACAAGCTAGAGTCAGAAGGACTCTCAGCTGAGGAAATGCCCCATTAGATTATCCTGTCAGCAAGCCTGGGGGCGGGGAGAGGGCATTTTCTTCATTGATGATGACATGGAAGAACCCAGCCTACTATGCATGGTTATCCCATGCAGATAGTCTGTGTAAGAAAGCAAAGTGAGCAAGCCAAGAACAGCAAGCCAGTAGGCATCATTCCTCTGTGGCTTCTGCTTCAGTTCCTGCCTCAACTCTACCTTGGCTTCCCTCAATAGAATGTATTTTATCACAGCAAAAGAAACCTAAGACAAGGGTCCTTAAGGCCTCATGAGTGTTTCTAGCTTTTGGCAACACCTAAACTGTTTCCTAAAGCCTTCCATGTAGCTAATAAGCCTTTTCTTCTTTAAGAGAATTTTTCATTCATGGTGGTACACACCTTTAATCCCAGCACACAGGAGGCAGAGGCAAGTGTGAGTTTGAGACCAGCCTGGTCTACCCAGTGAGTTCCAGGATAGCCAGGGAACAATGGAGAAGCCAAAAAATAAATTAAAAATAATAAAATAATTCAAATTTATCTACTATTTTAGAACTAGCACTTCCTAACTTATATATGCAGACTTTCCTTTACTGCTGGCTCTATCCCCCTTCAAAATCCTACCGATGATTATTTCTACATGCTCTGGAGACATTTACATGAATCATATAATTCCTCTTACAGCCACATGTGTCAGTTAGTTTTGTCAACTAGATACAAGCTAGAGTCATCTGAGAGGAGGGAACCTCAACTGAGAAAACACCTCCACAAGCACAGAGGGCATTTTTTAAATTAGTGATTGATATGTCTGGTGCCGCTCTTGGACTGTCAGTCTTGGGTGCCGTAAGAAAGAAAAAAGACTGAGCAAAGCAGTAAACAGCATTCCTCCATGGCCTCTGCATTATTTCCTGCCTCCAGGTTCCTGTCCATTTTGAGTTCCTGCCTTAGCTTTGCTCCTTATATAAAAGCCACATAAACCCTTTCATCTCCAAGTTGCTTTTGGTTTTAATGTTTTAATCACAGTAAAAGAAACCCTAACTAAGACAGCACTTATTTTCCAAAATGAATAAGGGAGATAATCCAGAAGTCTCACCATTTCACTTCCTCTTTTGCTGGTGGACTGGCTTCTTTGAGTCTATTATCCTGAAGTACTTTTTACAGTGTTCTCTTTGCTTCTAGGAGGAGTTAACTACAGATCTATTTCCCTTCTCATTTCAAGCAAGAATCAAACACTTGATTAAGTTCACAGTTCAGTTACTGGGATGAGAGCTGTGCTCCACTCAGGTAAATGAAAACAAAATGAGAGAAACAGGAAAGTCCTCAAAATTACAAAGATGAGAAATGTAATACTCTGAGTGTGATACTCAACTTTCTGGAGACCCAGATGCCTGACAAGTAAATTAAGATGTCATAATATCTTAAGTATATTAAGAAGGTATAAACTCAAGGCCTGAGTTTTCTGCTCATCATTCTACCTGGCCACTGCCACAGCTCTATTCTGATTATACTTACTTATTCTGAGCAGCATAGATATTGGCCAGCTTCAGAGAGATTTCAATTATCGCATTGTCTTCCTGTTGAAATAAAAAATAAATAAATTTTAAAAAGGAAATTCATGAGAAGTAAAAATTTCTTATGGAGTATTTCCAACATCTATACTGAATTTGGTCTCAAAGCCAGTCTTTCTTCTCTTAAAGGAATTAACCAACTATGAATTCTTTAGCAACTGTTACTCAAAATTAGTGAAATACTAGCCATTTTTATACAGGTCTAGGTGGTGAAATTGGACCTTTGGTCAAAGTACTTATGTGCTGGCCCTGGGGCTAGAGGGCATTTCCTGGTTGGATTTTTGGTCAACTAGACACAGGCTACAGTTATTTCAGAAGAGGAACCTCTACTGAGAAAAATGCTTCCCATCAGACTGACTATAGACAAGTCTGGAAGGCACTTTCTTCATTAATGACTGATGTGGGGAGCCCAGCTCACCGTGAGTGGTGCTACCCCTGCCAGGGCAGGGGTATGAATATATACATACATATAAAGACATACATACACACTGAGTGGTGTAAGAAAGCAAGCCAGTCTACAGCATTTCTATATCCTCTGTGTCAGTTCCTGCTTCCAGGTACCTGTCTAGGGTTCCTGCCCCGACTTCCCTCAGTGATGGAGTGTTACCAGAAAGTTTAAGATGAAATAATCCCCTTTTGCCCCAAGTTACATTTGGTCACAATGTTTTATCCCAGCAAGAGAAATTCTAACTAAGACAGGGAGTTTTCACTTTGTGAAATAAGGGGGCAATACTAGGCGATGACCTTACCTGCTTCATGCCTCCTCCAAGCAGGTAACTCATTGTTGCTTTAAACAGCTGTTCTGCCTAAAAGCATAAAGGTTTTTTAAAGCCATCTATATATGACCCTTGATTCTATGTACCAATTTAACATGTGTGAATATATGCATAGATACAAAGACATACATACACATATACACAAACACACAGACACACTCACTCACACAGTGTGTATGGGAAACATTGAGACTCTTAAAGATACCACAAGATCAGGACCTCACATCCTCTGTGTGCCTTAAGGTACTCTGTAAAGAGTGGAAACTAACTTCAACAGATTAATCACCTGAACCAATGTGGCAGATTGCAAACTGTCCCCTAATATTCACCCCATCGATTAAGTTTTTAAAATACCCTCAATTTTAGAATCAACTGTCCTTACCGTTAGGTTTGATCATACCTAACATACCATCAAGTTAAGTTTTGGCAACAGTAACAGGCAGAGAAAATATCAACACCCTTAAGACATTTTAGAAGGATGTCGCTTGCTCCATTCTCTCCTTTACTCTTCTTGCAGGCTAGGGATGAGTTAGCTTACTCACGCAGAAGAAGACATATCTTAAAATAAACCTGAGACTTCTGAGCCACACAACAGAGATGCCTAATCTGTTTTTAGTCTTCGGCCCATTTGTGGGCCAATCAATTAAAAAGAAATGCACCTATACATTCAGTCACTGTATCTTGGAGACCTTTTTGAAGAAATAACATATACCCTTACTGTCAGAGTTCCCTTGAACTATTACCAATTCAAGATATTACAAAGCGATTGACTTACATTTTCAAGCTGCCCTCGTATAAATGCTAAGTTGGCCATCTGAAAGCAAATTATAAATGGCTGTTCAGTTCAGAGCACTGCATTTACAGATTTAAAAACCTTTAAGTAAAAGATTCTTTCCTGATTTTACATTCTTAAAAAAAAAAATAATTCAAAACAGAGAAAATGTCAGTTAATCTGCTGAAAGCCCAATACAACGATGAGAGAAGCACATGGTTTATTTCATATACTCTGTTGAGAGCAAACTAAACCTAGATCTACTCATCACTGAAGAGAAAAATACTAAGATTTTGTTTCTTTTTGGTTTGAAATTGTAAGTGACCCTGCAGAGGATACAAAAACTAAAACCAAGAGAAAACAAACACTTTCAGGACATCATGAAAGTCAGGAAGATAAAACAGGAAGAAAAACCTTCCCAGCACCCACCCTTCCTCAGCAACAGTTCAAACTGTTAGGAAAAGTTACCAAGTCATAAGTGTAAGTGATGGCCTTCTTGTTATCACTCTGATATGCAAGACGTAGAGCATCATGCAAAATTAGCTCAGCCGCTTCTGGCTCATCTTTCATGATGCTCAACTAAAGAGAGAAGACAAAGAAAACAGTAAATGAAAAGCAAGGAAAGCAGAAGCACACACTACTTCAGAATAGATACGTCACAATACGTATGAGGAAGTTATTCACTCATCATGAACTTATTGAATCTCGACTATGTCCAGGTACCATGTCGACGGAGATGACACAACCAGATTGCTGCATGGAGAAAGGGCCGAGTGGGGCAAGAGAACAGGACCAGCACCTCCTTGTATCTAGGTGTGCTCATATAACAAAGTTTTGACTTAACAGATCAGCCAGAAGGAATGCAGCATACTTTTTTTCCCCCTGCAGAGACAGAGACCAGGCTGATTTCTAACCCACAGAGATCCACCTGCCTCTGCCTCCTGAGTACTGTAGTTCAAGGTGGTACCACCACACCTGGCACTGTATTTACTTTATAAGGAAGCTGTTTGCCTTCCATCTTTTTTCTCTTCCTGGAGATTATAGGGGATCATGCAGGACAGGTAGGCTTCATTAAAACTCATGAAAAGAGGAATAAATAAAAACGACACAAAGGAGTGACAAGGGGATCTCAATGGGAATCAGGAAAGTCTTCAAGAAAATGAGAGTAAAAATGAGGGAAGGAGAATAAGAAGTCAACCATATAATAAAACAGAGAGGAAACTGACCCCAACAGAGATGAGCAAAGGCCCTATAGGTTGAAAAGAACGGTCCTTCCAATTCAAGGAAGAGAGGTGGAAAGAGGACAGTGAGTCATACAGCAACGTAAGCTGGCTTAGATCACTCCCCATCCTGCAGCCCATGATAGGGGTTTGTGTTTCCTCAGAGACAGTGAGAAGTCACTCAATTAACAGGCAAGAAAGCCCTATGATCTAACTTACATTTTCAAAACGTCACTCAGATTGCTGCATGGAGAAAGGACTGCAGTGGGGAAAGAGAACAGGACCAGTGTGAGAAAAACAGGGTAAATGGAGGAAAAGAGGGCTGGAGGTGAGAAGTGATTTGGATGTGATGGCAACTGTGTTTATGGCTGTGTAACTGGGAATTATCAACAACACGCTTTAAAAACCACTACGATTTTTAGGCTTTTTTTTTTCTTTGGTGGTAAAGAGAAGATTGTTTAAGAACAATCTTTGGGGGAAGCATTTAAGAATAAGTGCTTAGTTTGGGGAATGCTAAATCTGAGAGGTAGCTAAGGGCCTCACAATACAGACTGCATGTCGATGTCACAGTGCACTCTGTGAATACAAATTTGGACACTGTTGGCATTAGGTCGATATTGAACCCACTGGAAGAGATGAAATAAACCTGGAGAGAGAAAAATACAAATTTTTTAAAAAGGATGTGGAAAACAGATTTAGACGCGAACCAAGAGGCATAAACGATACTAAACTGCATTTTCGGGGCGACACACATTTTTCATTGCACAAAATGTCATTTCGGCTTGGCTGGTTAGCTGATTAAAGCCACCCCCGCAAAACATCCTCAAGCAATGTTTGGACGGAGGCGGGGCGGGGAGGGAAAAGCAAGGGTGCCGTCTCCACCTGCACTCACGACTGCGGCGGGTTTGCTGCAGGATTCGCCGCGGACCAGTCCGGACGGATCCCGACCTTCCACCGGGGGCCAATCCATCCGAGCCTCGGGAAACCGGAGCGGGGAGCGCGCACGCCCGGCCGAGCTCCTCACCTTGGCTCGCTTCAGCAGCTGGATGATCTGGGCCTCCGCCTCGTCCGCCGCGTCCTCCCCCGGCTGCTCTTCCGCCGACGCGGGCCGCGAGAACCAGCCGAGCGCTGTGAGGAGCGCCTCAGAGGTCACCGGGAGCGGCCCGCGCCCGCGCCCCCGCCCCCGCCCGGAGCGCGCCGCTCACCTGCCAACAGCGGCAGCAGCCCCTGGCCCCGCGACGGCGCGCCGCGGCCCCGCAGCCTCCCGGCGCCC